CAGAGGCTTGGTTGTTTTTGCTAGTTATAAAGGTGCCCTTAACTTCTGGGCGACAAAGGAATTAAGAACGGAGGCAGAAGGAAAAAATGGAATTTTCAGCAATAATAAGGAGGAATAATAAGGAATTCCTAACATTCTTTTGTATTAAACTGTACAGAGTATAAAACAGAAGCGAGTGCCATTAGTAGTTGCTTCCGACGAAATGGTACTACTCGAACTATCTCTAAATAACTTCCCTCCTCGTTAAGAGTGAAATGTGAAGGCTGGGAAAGGAGTTTTAACTTTGACCTGACATTTTTACTGAGATTTTTCCTACCGCCTGGTTCTTTTCCTTTATTGTTTTTATGTAATGAGGAGTTCCTGAGAAGGAAGACAAATTGGAAATGAAAGCATGTCACTTCATCAAATGCAAAACGATTTCCATTTTTTAGCACACCTCTAAAAGTACATTTCACAGTTTAACGATATTAATTTCTGTCCTGGTTTATCAAAGTCAAAAGTCAAAACTCCTGCAAGACGAAGGCACAAAAATGTTGCTCAGCATACGCCGAAAGCAGTCATAAGCTGCCAGGGCTATCAATGGTTCCTTAAATTGAGAATGCTTAGAAGCAAGTTGATGGCGTTTTTGATTCTCTGACATGCGCCAGTGCCAATTTACCATCGAAACGAATGAACGGATCTTAAAAAAATTGGTTGGGATCGTGATAAAATAGTGCAGGAGTAATTAATATTTGTGGATTATCAGTTAAGTGATAACTAAAACTGGATGAAAAGTCAGCAAAATAAGAAAGAAGCCAAGAAATAAAAATAACTGAACAGAAATTTTCTGTTGCTTTACATAAGTTTTGCTGCACTAAGTTACATGTTTGCATTTTATTATGCCTTAGCGGAACCTTCAATTTTCAACACCTAGAGCGGAATACTGAACATTTTTACTTGCGCCTTATAGGCCATTTCGATTCCGATCTTTTGCTAGATGAAAATTCGTACCCCACAGCTATGTAAATTTTCAGTATTTAAACAAATCCCCCTAAAAAACCGTCTTTTAGAAATTTTATCGAACGCTGACTAAGCATGACGAAAAAAAACAGTGTTTGACTGTAGGTACTTGAGGGCCTCCTTCGCATCACAAAACTTGTTTTTATTTTTTTTCTTGTGCCATTTTTACCGCAACTGAACGTTCATTGTGTTTTCTGTGCCTTTTGAACTCCTTCCATTGCGCTTGTGAAAGTCACAGAAATATTACAAAAAAGATGTCATCAATTCGCACTCCCTACGGTAAGGTCCTTAGAAATAGCACTATATCCAGTCTTTTCTCAGCTTTTGTTTTTGCGCTTACTTCTAGCATCGCCGTGTAATAGTTCCTAAACGTGCTGGCTTGAATGTCTTGAAAAAACTGGAATTATGTTGATTTTCAGAGAGTCTTCGTGTGCTGAAAGGTGAAACA